GTATGTTTCTTGAATGAATAAACTCTGCAGAGAGACATGTGGCTGGTTTCCTGGGGTGGCCTTGGGTCACAGTTCCCAGAGAGCTCCGAAACACAATCCCCCACCAACTCAGTACCTAAAGAATCCGGTCTTCAGGCCGTAATTCCGGAGAATGTGCTCCGTGAAGGCGCAGGTAGAGCCCTGCAAGGGAAAGGCACTGTGTAGGCAGGTCCTACCCTCCAGGCCCCCTGGTGGACAAAAAGCCCTGGGTCCTGCCCCTCACCTTCCCCTTGGTCCCAGTGACATGAATGATGTTCAGCTGGTCCAAATCCTCCACCTGGGAGAGAGAGACAAGCCCAGCTCAGCCACAAGACTCAGACAGGCCGAGGCTGGGGTGGCTGCGGCCCCTCCATACCTTACCTGCAGCCCGCTTCTCGCCAGGAACAGCTCCATGGCTTCCAGCTGTTTTGGGGGGTCACCTCGCCGGCGCTTGGCCTGCTCCAGGTAGCTGGCATTGGTCTGCAGGGTGTTGAGCATGCGCACGGCATCCTGCAGCACCCAAGAGTGCGCATGTGGCAGGTTAGCTGGCTAGGGGTCCTCAGAGCCAGAGGCACCCAGCACATCAGGGGCCCGCCAGGCCTGCTGTGCCAGCCCTGCTGCCCTAGGTTACAGTACAGACTGAGTAATGGGGAAAAAGTATGGCGTCTTTCCAACTCTGCCAAAGATAGGAGCTTGGGACAGTTCACCACACCCAGGGAGTGCCAGGCAAGAAGGTGGGGAGGCTGACAGAGTTAGCACTGCTTCGTGCTTGGCGCCCCAGGCTCCACTCCCTGAGCCTTTGGCCTCCTTCCCTCCACTGATCTGCTGGGCCCTGACAGGGCTGGGGCCAGAGCCATGGAAGGCTGGGGACTCAGAATTCTGGAACAGCGGGGGCCCCCATGCTCGAGCCTGGGAATCTGTGGTTCCACATTCTGACCCCGTGAACAGCCGCTCGAAGTAACGAGAGCATTAGGAGGAAGCTCGGAGAGAGGACGGTGTGCCCAGGTCTCCCAGCCGGAAGAGGCAGGTATCTCCAGGCGCGGGAGATGCCAGCCTGGCCGCGCGGGAGTGGAGGTGCGGCTTGTTTCCCCCAGGCCTCGGGTCCCCCTTCTCTGGCTTTCAGCGCCGCGCAGGTGGTTGGCGACCCGACCCGCCGACCCGCCGACCCGCCGACCCGCCTCAAACCGGGCACACCTGCCTGGCTGGTTTCATGTTTCAGCCTCCGGTGACAGCACGGCAGCCCAGACATACTGTCCTCCACAGTCCCGGCCCTCCAGAGCCAGACGCCGGCCCACTCCCCAGTTCCGGGCGTTTAGATCCGTAACCCTCTGAGCGCGGGGACCCCAGCCCCCGAGCCAGGTGCCCGGATCTTTCGACTGCGAACGCTCGAGCCCTTCCTCTCCTCGCAGACTCCGTGGTCCCCGAGCCCAGGCGAGCCTCTGGACCACCGCCGGGGCTCCCCCATCACCAGTGCGGGACCCAACAGCTTTAGCGTTCCCCGACCCGGGCCCCACTCCCTAGTCGCCGTCCCCGCCCGCGACTGCAGGACGTGCCCGCCCCTCCCCACCTCAGTCCGGGTCTCCGAGAGCTGGCGGAGCCGGACGCTGCGCACCCAGGCCCGACCACGTGTCGCCGCACGGGTACCTGGTACTCCATGCCCGGTTCCTGCGGCGCCGGCCACGCGCTCAACCCCCGCCGCCCGGAGCCCTCGGTCGTCGCACCACGCGCAGAAACAGCTAGTAGGGACAAGACCGCGCGCAGGCGGTTCCGAGTCCTCGACATAGTCTCGGCGCGGGGGGGAACTACACCAGCGCGGGAGGTGCCCGCCGGCCCCGCCCCCTCGGCTACGCGTCGCCCCCGGCACGCCCCTGCCCTGCACCAACCAGCGCCGCCCAAGACCCCGCCCGCACCAATAAGAGCCGGCGCCTTCTCCGGGGCCATCTTTGTGAGGGGCAGGTGCCGGCCCTGCGGTACCGCCACGCTCGTACGTACGGACGCGCTCCCGGGGACCCTCCTTTCTTTTAAAGGGATACGCACTCCTTTCGTCGCCTTCCTCCCTAGATCCCTTCTTTTTTTTTTTGGTCTTTTTGAGACAGGGTCTCGCTATGCAGTTCAGGATGACCTTGAGCTCACTTTTTTTGTTTTTTGTTTTTTGTTTTTTTCCGGTACCGGGAATCGAACTCATGACCTCGCGCTTGCTAGGTGGGCGCTATGCTGCTGAGCTAAATCCCCAGCCCCATGCAGTTCAGGCTGGCCTTGAGCTCACTTTGTAGCCCAGGCTGGTCTCGAACTCGCAAGGATCCCTCTGCCTCAGCTTCCCAAGTGCTGGGATCGCAGGCGTGCGCCACCACCCCCGGCCCTGGATCCCTTCTGGCTGTCCAAAAATAGCTAGGCGTAGTCAGCATCCTTCAGCCCCTGCTCTAGGCCTGAACCAGCCCTGAGCCAGGATAGAATGACAGCGCTGGCTGACATAAGGAGGTGGCGACATCGCAGCTGAGACTTTAGGGTGCGACCAGAGGCTTCCAACCAACCAAGAGGGAGGGAACTACCAAGCTAAGGGAGGAAAGCAATAACTGCAGAGAAGTGGGCACTCCGGGAGCTGGTTCCACCCGGCTCCCTACTGCCAGGATGCTGGATCCAGCAGGCCCGGTAGCCCTGGAAGGAATTTGGATTACATGTGGCTGACATTAACATGGTTTTACGGAGGAAAACCGTGACCAGACTGGCACTTCGGAAACTCCCTGGGGCTGCTGCTTGTGGAGAATCGATCTGAGGATCACCTTGGGGGCCGGGACGATACTCTTTCCTACCAGTGGGTGACGAGGACCCCATTTGTACTGGGGTGAAAAGGGAGCCGGGGGAAATCTTTGTGACAGTGGAGGCCCCTAGGCTGGGAAGAGGTACTATAAACCTGCTAGGGAAAACCCGGTAGAAAACGGGCAATCTACCAAATGACTAATACGATTTCAGTACCTCCCTATCGTTTCCCTGCACTGGCAATTATGAGATTGTCTGAAGGGCTGGGTGCGGTGGCACAGGCCTGTAATCCCGCCACTAGGGAGACTGATACGGGAGGCTTTTGAATTCCAGGCTAGCCAGTGCTCCATAGTGAGACCCTTGGCTCATAAATAAATAAATGCTAAGAAAATATTAAAGAGATTGTTTGATTTCTAAATAAACAACTGATGTATGAGGAAGATTCTGTCCCCAGCTATTCTGCCTCTATCCTGCTATTCGCACACTGGTGGGTGCCCCATGCTGGCTCCCAGGGGTGATGGAGAGAAGGTCAGGAGTAGTGGCGGCGCATGCCTGTAATCCCAGCACTCGGGAGGCTGAGGCAGGAGGATCGTTGTGAGTTCAAGACCAGCCTGGGCTACAAAGTGAGCTCAAGGCCAGCCTGAACTGCATAGCGAGACCCTGTCTCAAAAAGACAAAAAAAAAA